TGTTTATTCTTTTAATTAGAAGTAACCGGTGTTCAATTCTTTCCTTTGTCAGGCATGCTGTACGGCTACTATCACCAGCCAGTGTAGTCGCCAAAATGAACGGCCGTGACAAAATCTGCAAGGTAGCCCAATCATGTTCTTTATCATTTTTGTCCTTGTTGAAGCTAGTTGAAGATATTTACTGAGCCTTTAAATTTTACAGACGGATCTAGAAGAAGTTAATACATTGTATCTTGACGCGAAGTCATCTGCTCAACTTCTTCAAAAGGGATAGATACATCTCATGAGAAACTGTACTGTAATATCCTGTTCGGTCTTAAATCTGGACGCTGTAGCTTTATTCGTTGAGGCGCTCGTATCCAAATTGCATTTTGCAAGTCAATTTGCTTCATTTAAGGATGTGGCTGTCTTCTGTAACTGATGTTTCATTACGTTAAGCGTATATTCTAGTCCGTTGCGTATCTTGTCCATCGGTGTGGTGACTCCTGTGTATTTGATACTCTTGCTAAAAATGTGTATGGTGCAGTATTTTTTTCAGTAATGGTTGTTTGTTACAAGATATTGACATTATCCTAACCCTAAACCTGTTAGATAATGATCTGGTTTTTCGACATATTTTGAAGATGAATGTATTTTCATCTCCAATTTAAGTTATCTTGGTGAAGCTTTGTTTTCACACAGTTCATTGTTTATTATCATTACTACCACCATTATGATTAAGTAGACTTAAATTTGTTCACGGGAACATAGGCAAATTAAATTTAAATAATATTCAGATAAGCCCAAGTCAATAGGGGTTGGCCGCGCCGTGCTAGATTGGAGGGGCTAGTGAATATATCCCACGATGGCCATGCGTGACTTAATTATATATAAAGTGTACACATGTTCTTAAATGGTGTGAGGTGGTAGAACACTATGGAAACTTCGCTGATTAATCATCAACCTTGATTTTGTTATGCTCAGTAACAACTCGAAAATAGCGGAAATAGGTTTGTGTTTCGCTTCCAAAGTCAGTCGTCTTTGCCCACGTGTGAATTGCAGACGACTCTCCAGTGGTTCTATTTTTTTTTAATGTACTTTTGGATGAACCCAACACGAATGAGAAGAAGAGGGTCAGCCAAACATCGGTCCATTGAACTCATCGCGAGGGAGGCGGGAAGCGGTAACTTCTAGAATAGAAGCTTCTCCTTTATTTTAAAATTTAAAAAAAGGTTTATGGATGAAGTAATCGGAATGCCAAGTGGTTACGTGTCTTTCGGAAAAATCTGTGCAAATTGACTCAAAACGAACAATATTAGATCATGTTAAGATTATTCAGGTTTAGTACGATTGAACAATAAAAAAAAACAATATATTTCTACAAGCAGGGTTTGGGAAGCATAATGTGTACGTAAATTTTATCCTTACTTTGTAATTTACAAGTTTTAAAGATAGAAAGATTTTTTTCGATAGACTTTCGCACGAAATCAAACTAAGTATTCATAATACTTTTGCTAGTAAAACTAGATGAGCTGAAATGAGTCTTATTTAACAAAAAGTTTGGCATATGAAGAAATTTTTTTATTACTGTACTTTCTTTCACGTCTAAAAGGTGTTCGTATTGTTTCACGTGTTGAACAATTTACCCAATAAGAAGACAACACGTGGCGACGGTCCTGTTGCCTTTTACTTTTTCCACACTGCGGTCTTTTTGTCTAAGAGGTCGAAACGACAGTTAGTTATTTCTTGCTAAGCTAAGGAATATAGCGGAATGATTCCCTCTAATTTTGCATCTCAGCCCTTGTACTTTTGACCAACTAAATTTCCGTCCACAACTTTCTTTTATTAGTCGTGCTGATAAAAAAAATAAAATGATTAGCCCATGTGATCTAATTCAGCAATATTTTGAAGTTCTTTTGATAGGTTCACATTAGACTGACGTTCTACAGTGTCTAATTGCTGTTAAATTTTAAAACGCACAATTGCTCCTTTGGTTTACGTCTTAAAAGAGGAAAACGCTAATGAGAAATTATTAGTATACTGTATTACTTATTAAATTATTTTGAATAATCACAATATCTCAAACTATTTTATTTTTTACATTAATATCTTACACCCTCTTTGTTTATATCTAGTTTGACTTGGAATGAGGAAGGAGCATTTCATTTTATTTTTTTTGGTATAGGAAAATTATTATATCAACAGCAGAAAAGTAACAATTTTGATTCCTAACTATTCAATGTTTCAAACTTTCAAACCTCAATTGTAGTTTTTTCCGTCTCATTTTCAAATAATAGGTAGTACTTGGTATTATTAATTTTTTCACTAATATATTGTCAAAAGTCTATGAAAAATAATTTGTGTTATATGGATAGCTTAACTTTTAGGAAACAGAATAAATCCAGAACCAAACTGTTTTGGCGGAGAAAAACTAATATAAGCTAAATAGAGGGGGACAATAATAAAGACAATTACCGGTCCATTACGACTATTTGCAAATTTTAAGTAATTTAATTTAATATGTCCACTAAATTTTCATTTAAGTGTATATCCCCATGGCCACAAATAAAATAGCAGTACAAAAGATGTTGGACAAATGTTTCTTGTCTTTATTCACAACTAGTGTATTTGTCCGCGCTTCGCGAGGTCATTATAAATAATATATATATATATATATATACATATACATATATAATTTTTTTTTTTATAAAAATTGAATAAAATCAGAAATATTAAGCATTTTCAATGACACTATAGTTGCAATTTCCATACCTTCAACACTATACATAGAACTATGAAGAACTATACATAGGTAACACTATGACTATGTTA